GTCCTATGAATTCCATATATTGAAAAAAGCAAAAATGCACACCAAATAAAAGCTTGGGTGTCAGGAGGTTAAATATGGGGGGCCCTGAGAGCCGTTTTTATAACTCTGAACTCACAAGATATTTTTTCATTGCAGTAGACCAAACGACCAGAGACAAGGATTGCCGACATGTTTACTCACGGCCAAAAGCTCAACTGAATTGAGGAAAAATGATTGTTTCCGGATGTGGTTACTCTGACACGCACAGGGAAGACCTGCTGATCATAAATCAAGCAGTGGAAACCAAACAGGATTGCTGAAAAGATAAATACTCAATTCATGTGTACAACCATGTGACAACGCTTTATCTTTCTTTTTTGTAAATGTAAGTATAGTCATATGGGCAGTGAATTGAGGAGACTTTGTAGAGCTAAAGCATTCCACACTTGAAACAACACGAGAGTGTTGTCTAATTTCTCCAAATTAGGTGACTCTGAAATAGATCTTCATGGCCCATGTCCTCCAGTGGCAACCGTGAAAATGAAGTCATTTCTCTTGAAACAGTTCTTGTTAAGTGTTAATCTTCTGACTCTGCTCCGTACACATGGCAGCATTAAGTGAATAGTTACTATGCGAACAACCCCTCTAAATCCTGCTGCTGGCCCAAACACTCATTAGTTCTGATTTTGAATTTGACCTTGTTCTGTTTGCCGGTTAGTTTAGTACCTTCAATTGAAGTGAAATTTGATTTGCAACAAAGGGTATCTATCCAATATGAAATACCCCCCCCTTTTTTTTTGTCTCAATTGTTAATAACGACTGCTATACTTAATTGCATTTTTTTTACCAAAAGGGTTTCATACCCAGAGTTATTGCATGAAAAAGCTCTTTATAAATGGTGGATGACCCTGAAAGACATCAGTAGTTCATGGCTGTCCAGTGTGGGATCCTGGAATGGCACTCGCCGGGCTCTGTTGTCAGACACTGCATAGTGAGTCATTGGGCTCCGGTTCGGGATCAGCCTCCTCTGTCTCTGGACCTGGCATGCTCTGCCACTCAAGTCAGCCCTTTTAGGGATACGCTGCTGCTCCACATTTACAGCAAAAATGTGAAAAAGTGGTTACTGACACGCTCCCACATTTCTGTGGCAGGCATGGCGTAAAGCCTTTAAGAGCACCATGCAAACAGCAACACATAAACATGAGTGTTCAGCTGTTGGAGACTTTTCAAAACCCTCCGCTGCCCTATTTCTGCATGAAACAGATTTATCATCCTTTGATGTACATGTGATGACAGCTGATTCTGTAAGCTACTGTTTTACTTTGTCTCTTTAACGTCTCCAACTGCAGATCTCTCCATCACTCACACTTTGTCATCTAACATCCCTGACATCCATAGGGACCTTTTGAGGAGCTTTGCTTCATCCCTTGCCATTCAGCCTACAGGCAATGAACCCACAGTTCACGCTGCATACCATAAAATGCACAATCCACCAGCATTTATGTGTAGCACTGACAAGAGAAATCAGAGTTGAGATGATTACTCTCGGTTAAAATGAAAATGACAAAAAAAAGATTCTGACAAAGAATCCGAACACCTCCGTCTTGAAGTAGTTTAATATCTTTTGAAAGAGGAAATGAAAAAATATGTGACTGTGAGTCACAAATTTAGCATTTAGTGTTGAACTGAAAGAATACCTGGGGACAACTCCATTGAGGATGGCTATGCGGCAGTCACTTTATAAAAACGGTAACTATAAACAAACTCAGGGAAATAACTAACTCTGTGCTGATGAGAAAATAGTTATCTGGTGTTAAAAAATTAAAAGCTACAAAGGAATGCATCACAAGGTGAGCTCCAAAATACTAACCATGAATTGGCTTAAGATGTTGAAGTTAAACAGACACACAAACAAACAAAACAGACAAAGACCATAAATCCGACCAAAGACCCACAAACAATTCAAAACACAGTTGCATAACTCTTGCTCAATGGCTACCTTTGTACATCTGACACATGGGAAAAACAGATCTAAAATGTTGACCAATTAGCTGCTCGAGCACGTAAGACTGGACATTTTAGAGGCATAGGTGGGGCCAAAACTAATAGAATGAAAAATATACACTGATTGTTGACTTGATATGAACCCTCATGTTGCAATTTGGAGGAAGTATTTCTAAGCCAACTGACTGTCAATAAGCAGTGTGTCCTAATACAAGAACCTCCTAAAGAGCCCAATCATGCCTTGGTTCACTTTTATAAATGCAAACTGCACGCTCTGTTGCTGATGAGGCATTCCATCTTTAATTCTAATCCATATATGGGCAAGGAGTATATTTGGAAGCTTTTTCTTCAATTACCCATGTTTCCTTAACTCTCCTGCTCTGTCTAACTTAGGTTGGACAATCTTTTCCAGCTGAGTTACATCCATGTTGTCTGTCAGAAGAGATTAGGCTTGACCACTGTTGCATGTTCTACTTTATTACTAAAAAGTAATAACTTATGTTAGTCAGAAAGGTTTAGTAAACAACCCCTTGCCAAAATATGGAATAGCTGCTCACAGAGGGTATTTGTTCAGCTGTTTTATTTTGTTAAAACAAAACAGATTACCTAGGACACAAACTCTTCATTCTTAACAGATCATTCTGGTTTCTCTTTATACAAATTTCACTCCCTTCAACTGGTTCCTTGGAGCTTGTCACAAATATTGACCCCACCTCTGCCTTTTTATTTCTCGTCAGTTCAGCTAATAATATGATATTCCTCTTGGTCTATCTACATCCCTTTTTTAAATCTCTCTTTTTATTTGTACTCATGCCAAATTATTGAAAAATAGGACTGAGAACAAACTTTCCACAACCTGTGTTGAATTACCTATTTCACAGAGTTACATAATCTGTCCCATTGTTTCCACTTACAGTTGTCTTGTTGGGGCCGTGTTCCTTGTCAATCAGCCTGGTGCAGCAGCGCTTCGAGGTCTGCAAAGAATCTATTTTAACATCAGGTCAGTGCGCTTATGGGGACCTGACTGTTTATCTTTGATAAAGTGCAAATTAATTTTTTTTTTAATTCAAATGAAAATGTATAAGTTATTTAAAAAAGAACGTCATTGATTCTAACAGTATTATTCGATTTTGGTGGAGGTTTATATTTTAGATAGCAGAATATTTACCAGCAACACTGATTCGTTCCACTCATAAAATTTTTTTAAAAACTGCTGAATGGTAATCCTTGAAGAGTGGTGATTTAAATTGTTTCTTTCTGGCCAGGACTTGTATCCTTTTTTCAAACAGCAAAATATGTGCTTACAGTATTGATATGTTAATAAGGTAAGGATGATTTCCAAAAAGTCGACAAGGGACAAATGAACATATTAAATACCCTTATACAGCTGAATACATGTCAGGAAAATGTGTGCGTCTGCCTCTGATGACTCATCCAGCCTGATATTCCTCATACCGTGAAATAGTTGGAGACATTTTAGGGTTAATATCTCTTTTTTGTGCAGTTACATGACAAAAAAAAAAAGTGATGAATTAATGGAAAATGTGTCTGTCCTGACCTGTGCAGAAACACTGGAGAGAACGTTATTTAACATATTGGAATGACATAGATTAATAATGCAGACTCAAATGGAAAGCATAACATAAAAACAAGATTATAAGAGGACTGCAGCTGCATGTTCAACGGCTTAGCGAGCATGAATAGGGCTCATGCTTTCCCTTCTACCTCAGCCAGGCACGATGCTTTGCACCATTCGAACATAACTGTGCCTGAGACATGACTTATTTCGAGTTTCCCTGTTTCTCAGGTCAGTTTGAGGCTCATTGAGTGCCAGGGATGTATACCTGAAGTTTAAGTTAACCTGTGTATCATCATTTGGGTGTGAAGCACAAAAAGGGGGACCCTGCAATGACTAATGAAAGCAAACATATGCAGACAATAATAATTGGTTGACTGAAGAAACTCATTATCTGAAGTCAGCTTCAAATCTATACTGAGAGTTTTCTCAGTGGATATTCATACCATCAATTTATGTGTTTGATTGATTCAAACAGGGTGTAAACAAGTATGCACAGTCACGTTGGTCTACTTTCAAGTTGTTTTTCTACACATGAGCGCCTCCCAGTGGTCCTAGGAGAGACTGCACACAACTTGGACATGATCTGTTTTTTTTCTTAAAGTAAATCAGTTTAAATATTGCACGTGCACTTGGATATTTGCATCTTTAGTTCATTTGAGATTCAGTACTGAAACATATATCCTTTTTTAGGGTTGTTATCTGGCCATGTCAAGATAACAACTGAAATCAGTTCACTGATAAAGACACATACCATAATAATAAAGCTGACCATGCATGATAGCAATGATAACTAAGCAAAAAGTTTGTTACTTAGAACTTTATGGTGTTGTTGTTGTTTTTTTGCTTTTTGCCATGACCCAGCTTCTAACTTAAATGGTCCTGATTTTTTAACTGTGGCCTGACAACCACCTGGACGTCTCAATAATATCTCTGATGTCAGGCTGGGCACTTATAACTATGGAGAAACAAGTAAAGAGTTCTCTTACATTTATTTTTGCAAGAAATAGCAAAGATAAAGATGGATTAGATTGGGTGTTTCCCTTTGGCCACGCTGAAATGGATTTAGTGGGTATAGAAAATAGATGGATGACTCTGTCAATGATTTTCAACCTTTTCAGGTCATCTGGGTGTGAGCATCAGAAGGAAAGCAGACTCTTTTCCAGTAAGAGACTTGACATGCTTGTCATATCTCTAATATTCTTTTTTTAATTGGCTGGATTAGGCAGCTTTTGATGGGATAGTGTTGATATTAATTCTTCGAAAGCCATCCAGTAGAAGCATCAGACAAACATGTGATCTTCTAAATGTGCTGTGCATGATAAAGGTGATTGAATAGGGAGATAGAAACTGGCCTGCAGCACACTGCTGAATATTTGGAAGATACTGAGATCAGATTAGATTTACCTTGTGAACATGACATTCCTCTACAGCAGGTGGAGACAGTCTCAAAAGCAGAGCTGGTAGTGATCCGCCAGACGACAGAAGAAAAATTACGAGGAAAAAACCAGGAAGCATCAGCAGACACTAACCTTATTTCACCATTTAGATGTTGTTTTTGCTTGTCGTTCCGTTTTAAGATTCATTCTTTCTGGCTTCGCACGACTTCTGGCTACGCGACGACATTCAGGATTCCAAACCAGGACCAGGAGGATGTAGCAGAGGATTTTTAAAAAGACTTTCCCTCCAATGTTGGGGCGTCCAGCGGATAGCTTACCTTTTGTTAGTGGGAAGAAAACAATGGAGATTTGGACCCTCTCGGCGGATCGTTTTCACCCGGGACCGCGGCGGCTGTCGCGGCTTAAAGGGATCCAGATGTGAGCGGCCCGGCCCTCCGGAGAAAGGCCGGGGCCGGGTTCCTCTGTTCGGGGAAGTGGAACGGGCGGGGAGACATGGAGGAAATGATCACCCTCAGCTCGGACGACTCTGATGTGGAGATCGTGGGCTCCTACAGCGAGTTCACCTCGAAGGCTGACCCGCTGCCTCTGTCCGACGTCCGGGTGGACATCGAGGCCGTCAACGTCAACATCCCGCCGGTGAGTGGCCGCAGGTGGACACACACGCGTGGGCTCACTTATCCGAGACAGAGCCCGGTGGGGAGCCACGATCTGGCTTTGTTTCCACAGTCTGTCAAACTCGAAAAGTGTGCCAGCGATGTGGCAAAACATTGTGGAACGTGTTCTGATTGATTTAAATGCATCCCCAAAGATGTGGCTGCAAACCAAAGTGTTGTATTACATTCCTATTACAGGTGTTTTAGGCTCAAATTTCAGAACTAACACCGGCCTGTTTTCTTTTTCTCATGAAAATCAAAGGTCTGGAAATATGGAGTGGGTCATAGTTCACCAAAGGAGCAAGAAGTATTTTTCTGTTGTTAGAATTGGCATATAGTTACTCACTTTAGCATTGCATGCTATCACATAATCCATGTAAATGACTGACTGTCTTACTCTTTTTAGATACTTGTGTTAGTCTCTCTGGGTGTGTCCACAGATTCTCCTTCTCTGTTACAGTAGACACAGGTGTTCAAGGGTCGACATCCACACACACTTTCTTGAATTAGGAGCCGGCCTGTTCATGTCAGAGCTAACTGGCCAATGACACTCGGTTGCGTCCAGTCCTCCTTCTGCACTGGGCAGGCCCAGCCCAGAAGATAAATGTCCATCACACCAGGATTTCGGGACTCTTGTTGACTGAGACCCTCAGGGAGCTTTTGTGACCAAATAAATGTCATATTTGTACTCTTTATCTGCTCTGATTTATTCTCAGGCTTCCAATTAAAGAATTGGGCTAACACTGTATAAACCTGATAGAAAGGAAACCTTGGTAAAGGCCAAGTCCGCAGATTACTGCACTCCAAGACTCAAAGCAGGGGATCCAGATGCCATAATGGATGGCTTTGCAGTGCTTACAACAAGATACACGCCTCTGGTTACTGGTCAAGAACGGTTGGACTTAATTACATTTTTGGGATAAAACCATTACTAAATTGCGCCCAAAAAATGATTGCAAAAGATAGGTTGCAAGAGGAAAAGGCATGAGCCGGTTACTTGGCCTCTAGCATTCATGAGGATGCTACTGCTCATAGAGGAATAGAATGGATCCTGAAGCATATTAAGATATAGTTTGAGTTCAGACAGAATAGCAGAGTGGGTCACCAGACATCAACACAAGCTCTTTGTTAACTGATGGCACAAACGAAAAACAGGAAGACCCACCAACAGGCAGCAACTTTGGGCGGCTGCATTTACAACGCCAATAAAGTTCCTGAAAAGAGGAACTAAGTATTTGATGGGGCTGTTTGGCTGCAGAGGATTTTTATCAACATATTAGAAAGTGTTTCCAAACACTTTCCTTGCCTGTGAGAAACACATGTAACCCCTCTCAGTAAAAGCTGATGATGTGAGTGAAGTAAATTTTGTCATTTAGATTAATGGTTGCATTGTCTCTAGGTGTCTGCCATCTTTATATTTTTATCCATCTGTATTGTACTGTTCTTCTCTAAGTTAAAATGTGAATTTTACTCCAGCAAACCACAATTGAATTAGAAATGTACAGAATTTAAAAACTTGCCCAGCAGATGTCATTATTATGACAACGGTCTCAGATGCAGATGTTATGGGACTGTCTGATGGAAAAGTAAAGCTGTGGAAATATCCTAAATATAAGTATGTGTTTGAAAGTTTCAGGTAGATTCAATTTTTGCTAATTGTCTCAGCAGTGCATTTTGATTATGTGGTTCTATATACTGCTGTCTACTAACAGAATTAGGACAACAATTACCTTTTTTTTTATGATGGTAATTATCATGGGGCTATCACTGTAATGAGCGCAAGAAAAAGTAGTTCCTCTCTAAGAGATTAATTCAAACCTTCTGGAGGTTGCATTTACTTTACCGAATTTAGAGTTTCGTTTGAATATTATATGCACTTTTACCCTAATTATTAAATGAAGAAATTGGCATATCAAACTTACTGCAGAAGATAATATTGTGTTCTGTATGAGTTAAAAATCAATAAATGAGAGGACAATGACTGGGTGACCTGTCAGTTAAGACCGTTTACTTGCGTCCTCTGTCCCACTCCGCTGCGGAAAACCTGGCATGTCCGTATCGTAACTGTCAGCGAAGGAGTTACTCCACAAAGAAACATAAAAAGACCATGAAGAAAAAAAGACTAGACAATTTTAACATAGTCTACATTGCTAGGTATATACAAATATATGACGAAGAGGAAAGTTAAACAAAGCATATGCCCCGTGACGTCGTCCACTTCAGGTACAGCGACTTTTTTCACATCTCAACGTCCGGTCGAAGTCAAAGGACCAAACTTAAAGTTAGCAGCTGTCAACTCTATTTTACTGTTTGTATTTGTGAATAATTACAGTTGACTTTTATTAGGTGTTTTCTCTCGGTTAATTGCTGTGTTTGTTTATTTTTTAAACCTCCATGGAGTAGTATTGAACTACGAAACGTTAATACCTGAATTTGAAAAAGCGAAGTTACACCGAATTCGTCTTTTCTCCTCTTGATGGACTTCACAGGCCTTACAAATATTACGATATTTTGTACAACGTAGCCTCACAGTGACAGGCCTGCTGGTTCGAATCCCTTGTGAATCTGCTACTCCTGTGTGGAGTCCCCATGTCCTCCGTGTCTGGTTCCTCTCACCTTCCAAAATCGTGCATGATAGTTGAACCGAACGCTCCAAATTTCCTCCAAGAGTGATTGTGAGTGTGTGTGGTTGTTTGCCTCTGGGTGGCCCTGTGATGGACTGGAGAGCCTCTAAGGTGGACCCAGCTTCTGGGTTTCTGTTCTATTGCATCATTTGTTACACTGCCCCAACAGCGGCTCAGAATATTCCTTGAGAAATTAATTGAATACCAACATTTGTAGTACTGGGGTAACTTCAGTTTTGTTTATATGGTACTAACATTTTATTTTATTTTATTCCATGGAACTAAGTGATTTGATTCTGAATGCAGAGAGAGAAAAGTGTAATAATATTAACTGAATGGTCAGGTTTTATCCTTAAATGTGACTTTTTTGCATTATTGACATTTTTTCTCATTTTACCTTTTTCTAGCATTTTATTGACCTCACAGATCCAAGATGGACTTTCCCGGACCTCAAGCTGCGTAAAACACAACATTCCACCAGCACATCAGTAATAGATTTGACGGAAAACGATTCAAAAGAGACAGAACTAAAGACAGAGAATTTGTCACCAGCTGATGACATTCATTTAGAAAAATACTGTACGGATATAAAAAACATTTCGATTAAGCAAGATTCGACCCCACCAGAAATCTCTGTGAAGGACTCCAGTGATAAAGCTCCACAGCAGGACTGTGGCGCCCCAGATTCGAAAAGACATTTGAATTCTGATGCACAACTCAAGGAGCCGAACCTGAAAGAACCTTCTTATTTTTGTCACGACACAACAGCTGTGAAGCTTACACGGTTACCGTTTCTAGAAACTCATGTCAGGGAGCTGAAGAACTCAGGGCGCTCCATCCATTTAACCAAACAGTCACTGTGCTTTATACACCCTGAAAATGAAAAGGAACCACAGGAATGTGATGTTAATTTAAGGGCAACTGCTGCACTAAATGTTTCTGAATCTTCAACTGAAGGTCCCCCACAGGAGGAGAAATCCACAACCGACCGACAAGAAAGCAGAAAAAATATTTCAAATGCACAGTGCCAAGATGAATCTCACCACTGTCAAACTCCTGTAGACCCTCTTACCTCAGAGGAAGAAAGCTCTGAGGCAAACTCAGTAAAGAAAAGCACTAATGAAAGTCAGCCAGACGGCTTTCCCTCAGCCGACCACCTTAAAGCTCAGAGTGAATCTCTCTACTCCAAACTGACGAACTTGGAGCTGGACCAAACGGAATCGAAACAAAGCTGCCCTTCCCTCCACTCTCCTAAATCCTCCAGTGCCCACGCTAACACGCCTGAGTGGGATATGGAGACAGAGACTTACAGGGAGGACATAGAAATGGACAGTCCATCGTCTCTGCTTTGGCAAGGAGAAAGTGATGGAGAGGAGCTGAACGACAGGAGCCGACCAGGCATGGACTACAGAGCCGTCAGTAGGGAGGACAGACAATACGTGTCCCCGGCTGCTCTCAATAAAGTACTGTCTGGCCAAGCTCAAGCCCTGGTATGAGACTCCATGTTTACATGCTTTCCTGCACATTACTGAGCCAGCCCGAATGCATGACATTCCTCTTTATTTGATATAATATGTGTCTCTTTTCTTAGATCAATGAAGGCAATGGGAGTTTTGGGACTGCAGAGGTGCTGTGCCGTCAAAGCCTGAGCCTGGTTTACAGCACCATAGAGGAGAACTATCCAGAAGGCACTTTGCAGTTGTTGTCTGACCTGCTACAGCCCGGTTACTATCCACCCAAGGATATCATGTCACACCTACTCCGTGGCATTCTGCTTGACCCGCTTAGTCCCTATCATCTCAGTGTGCAGGCCTTTAACCTACTGATGAGGACTCAGAGGTAAGGGGATGACAGGAACAAAGCATTTTCTTCTCACTCAGTCTGCCCCTTGCAACGTGTCTCATTAACTCCTCTTCTCTTTGTCAGTCTTTTAATTTGAGCATCCAAGCTGCTTTCTCATTGCAGACACCACATGGTTGGGAAACGCACAATTCCGTGGGATTGGGACTTACTGACCTCAGTTTTGTCAGATCAGGTAATGTTCTTCATGCTCAATAAGGGCGTGTTGTCAACATAAGTATCACAATAAGAATGCCCCGTTTTTTTTTGTTGAAAGATATCCAAATATATTGTTTTCTTAATCTGTAGTTTTCTTCTTCTGTTGCCCTCTTGTGTCATTAGGACTCCACAAAAAAGCCTCGGTGTGAGATTGTGCGCATGTTCCTGGAATACACCGTGCAAACTTTGGAAGATGACTTCTGGGCAAAATGTTCTTCATCTGGTCCTCACCACTCCATTGCAAAGGCAATGCTGTCCTGTGATCAGCAGTTTACTCGGGTCAGGTGAGTTTGACAACCACAGACCTGCATTAAAGGAAAGGTAATCCTGGATGGAGTTGGAGTTGTAAACATGTTATTAAATGGAGACCTTTTTTGTAAAGTTTTTCTTAGTATGCTTTTCGTTTTTCTGTGTTACTCAGATGTCAAAACAGGAGACAAAATGCAACAAAAGAGTGAATGAGTGATAGAAGTATTTTCCAATATTCCTTTGTGCTTTGGAATGACATGGTTATTGTCAGTGTTTTACATTATGATAATTTATTTAGGACAACTTGCAGGAATGGAGTTAACTCACCTCTGAAGTCTCTTAGAGACTCACCAGTGTATATTTTCTAATAACAAACACTAGCTTTTCATTACAAAGGGTCCTGACAGCCCAAATTAGTTTCTTCATTTGTGTCATTCAATATAAATTCCCATCCTGGTGCCTCACCTTCAAATGTACTGAAGAAAAAAAATATTTTTCTTCATCTCTATGCATTTACATAGCACTGCAGTCTGTTTTACAATATCATAGGCCTTAAAGTGCCTGGATCAGTGGCATCTTAAATGAAGTAAAATGTTATTTGCCTGGCTTATCAAATGTGCTGGTTGTTTGCAATGCGCTGCTTTTGTTTTTTTCCCCAAAATCATTTGTATCTATTATTACAAATAAAGAAAGTATTTTTGTTCTCATTGTTCACAGGGACATCATCAAATGGCTATTTACTGCTATTATGAAATCAACAGAACATGAAAAGAGTAAAGAAACCACCAGAGAGAAAGATGAGCACATAAGGTGAATGACAAATTCTAAAACCCAGTGTCAGACTTGCACTTATTTCCATTAACCTGGAATCAACTGATGTGTCCCGCTTGTCCTATACTATTAGCGCTTTTCCATAATGTTTCGAGATGGCAATCCAACTGGATGGAAATACTTTTATCATGACTTTTATCTTCTGCTCATAGCTCCTGTTCCCCTTTTCTCTCCTGCAGAATAGTAGCTATCTTCCAAAGGATGCTGTCCATTGCTCTTGAGGTGGACCATTCTCCTACCTTACACTCAACCAAGCTGTCCCAGGAACTCTTCCATACACTTCTGAGCCACGCGCCTCTGCGAGCACACAGGTGAAGAACAGATTCACAGCATGAGGGTAGCTGATGAGTGAAAAGGAAAAACAGTGTTGGGTTTGTTACTTTGTACATTTCAGTTGTAATGCATGTACTGCTTTAATCAATAAGATAAAAACTCTTCCACTGTATTGCTAAGAAATGTAATATCCTCCTGAAATGTACATTAATCTTTCTAAGTTGCAAATGCTTTGAGGTCTGACTGCCTTAAACTTAAACTAAATTAGCATATGAATCAGAAACAGGTTATCAAACCAGGAAGTTGAAATCATCTCTTAAAAACTCATTTATTTCAGTTTTAAAATAAACATCTTCGTGTTAAACTATTTTCCCCATAGTTAATTTTCATTTGGACAATGTTTAGGTAAAATTGCTTAAATCCAAGCGTATTTTGCAATCTTATAATGATCTAAATGCATAAATCACACCAATTGAAGTGTAACAACTCAAATAATCCAGGTTTCAGACTTCTTTATCTGTTCCTGATTTTCAGGTTGTTACTGTTGGAAAGCCTAGAGAGCAAGCTGCTGAGATGTAAGCTGTTGGAACATCTGCTGGACTATGCCTGCCCACAGAAAGTCACTCTGCCCATGTCACTCAGCCTGCTGCTACACTTCCTGAAGAGCTGCACATTGGAACCAGACCCTACGGTGAATATCCGGCTGTGCCAGTTTGACTTCATATTTGATTTTCTTTGCACTTTCAGTAATATCATGGTGTTGTTTTGATTTTAGTTTTAATGGAAAAAAATGTTTTATTTCAAAGTGGAATAAGACTTATCAATGTTTTGTTTATGAAGAAATCTATTAATATTTAAGAAAAAAGCAGACGTTCTGATCCAGAGTCTGTTCTCCAGGATGGCACTGAAAGGTGGCAGAGGTGGGAGGAGTTGATCCATCTTCTCTGGATGCTACTACTCAGCTACAACAAAGCTATGAAAGGTGAGCCTATGGTGCCACTCTGACACTGAAAGGTTTTCCTTTAAATATGGCCAAATGTCGCTTGTTAATAACTTTCTCTGAAAAACTAGATTAATGCTTGAAGACTACTTCAAAATGTTAATAAACTGTTGTTAATTAGGACAGTTAAAACAAGGTTTCTGTACAGTCTGACCAATGGTGAATAATTCTGTTTTGTTTTTATGATATTGTAGATACTAGAAATAAAACTGCAATTTTTAGTGCATAGATCTGCTCACAAGTTTTCTTTGTCCAGAAGCAGTCTGTGCTTAAAACCTCAGACTCTCAAGCCCACTTCCAAAATGTGAGATCATTCCACATTATGTGGTCTGGAATGACTTTAACTGAATTCCATTTGTGCAAAATGAGTCCTAAAGTAGGTATATCTATGCTGAAAAGATTAAGCAACATGCAGACTCTGCATGTATCATAATCCTCTTATTTTATTTCCATTTACCCATATATTCCTGTTTTGACTTTATTTCTGGTTACCACTGGATTTATGCCTCTATTCCTTCCACCAAGTCATAAATATTTATTTGATTATTTGTGTTTCACTGTTGGCAAGTTTTGTGAAGATTTTTAACACAGATGTCTTTGTAATTTATTATTTTTTATTTAAATATATATATATATATATATTATAAAGGAAAAATAGTTTGGTTTGACTCCAAACATATCATCTGTCACCCAAAGGCTATCTGCGCAGCTCCAGCGGTGAACAAAGAAGCAGAGCGGGGACCTCAGTCTACAGACCAGAAGACACGATATCAAAGCCTGCTGTTCGAGAGGCGGTGGAGGCCTTCCTGTCCAGATCCCGCGCTGACCTTGGCGGAGCCTTACCTCTTCATGTGGAAGAGTCCCTGACGTATCTGCAGGACCACCTCCTAGATGTCTGTCAGTGTTGAATTAGTGACTGTTTCAGTTCTGTCCTTTTTATTTTGTCTTAAAGCATTGTAATTTATATTTCATTATTTTGTCTGTACTAATTTGTAAAATTATTTTTTTAAAGGCAGAGCCTTGATAAGTCTGATGACCCCAAAATATATTTTATGTGTTTTGATACAATAAATGTCACTTTGCAGTACAGCTGTTGTCTCTTTACCGGGAACCTTGTGTTTTATTTCAGTATCTTGATCCTCCTCCACAAACCATGACATCATAAGCGTTACAAAATGCACACTCTTCTTATAAACAAGCGCTCCCCTGATGGTGTTTTAAAAGGAACCCTCTATAAATCCCACAGCGCATCAATCTATCTCAAAATGGTCCATCATTTCATGGCAGAAAATATTATTTACTGTGGTTCAACAGCTGGTTGGACCTTTTAGACGCTGACCAATAGAATTAGGCGGCGCTGTTATTGACGGAGAAAAAAGTCCTCACAGTCGCCATGATACAGCAGCGGAAACGGGGAAGAAGTAGCTAGAAAACAAAAGAGAACACGCAGTCGTCCTCGCGATTTGGTATGCTCTTGCAGGTAAAATGAAATTCTCTCTATTTAACCAGATGTATTTCAGTTAATATTATCATGCCAGGTCCTGAATGTACAAAGCACTACCCTCATTTAGCCGAGAGGTACTTATTTTCACTAGGAAGTGGTCAGCTTCAGATAATTGGGATATGTTAGCTTTTAGCTAGCAGGCTAACACAAGCTAAGCTAAAAAAGCTCGCAAAGCTTGCGAGCCCTGCATCGTGGGGCTTTGTGTGAGCACGGTTGCTCGCTGCTTATCTCCCTTGTCGCGATTCGTGCTACAGGAAGCTAGCTAACAACAGCTAAGTAGTGCGTTGTTTCGTGGCCTAGTGTTTATGCGCAATTCAGCGCTTTACCATTATGTAAACAACAAGTGTACCGTTTATTTAGCTATATCAATTAACATAATTTGCTGCAGCCTGATTGGGAAACGTGTCAAAGACCGTCGACTGATAAATTTTGCTTTGTTAAATTGTTAGTGTCTATTCTTTATGCAAGCGAGATAGTTTGTGGTACAGCTTTGTTTTGTACAGCTCGTTAGCTGCTAATTTAGGTTAAGCTAGGCTAATCAGTTAGCACCGTATGAGAGAACAATCGACGAGCTTAGCTTTGTTTATTTCTGATTTTCAAGCGGTGGTTGCTATTTTTGTGAAAATTCAATGCTAAAGTAGCTAAAAGCGTTCCACTTTGATATGTTTGACCGAAAGCGGTTTGGAACACGGTGACGATTTATACGTTAACTTATGTAACAACAATGCAATCACGGTCTTCACAGTTGCACGTTTTGCTCTACTTGCTTTCGCTTTAAAGGTACGATTTGGATCATTTTCGGATGAACAAAATGTCACTTCTTATTAATAACTATTAACTTTTAAGCTACAGCGAATTGCGTGCGTTTATTTAAATTGTTAGCGAACTTAGCCGAGGAGCTACATGTAGGCTCTTTAACGTCGCTTGGAAGGCTTAGTCCAGGGTCACATTTAAGTAATGCGTCTGAAGAAGTAGAATAACGACACACCTGCTAAGACACGCTTGACTTTTAGCTTTAATAAAATAATCTCTGTAGTGCTATAGGAATGCCCAAGGAAAAATATGACCCGCCGGATCCCAGGCGGATGTACACAATTATGTCCAGCGAGGAGGCAGCAAATGGGAAGAAGTCATACTGGGCTGAGCTGGAAATCAGTGGTGAGTATTGTCAGGTAGCCTCTGAAATTTCAGTTAAAACTGCTGAAATGAGCTATAATCAATCACTTGTTGCTGGAAAAAAAAAACTAACAGGTGAGTATATTTTCCTTAGCCTCCTGTTTCTGCATGAAATACAACTGCTTTATTTTGTTTTTCAGATGGTGCACCATACTTGAATATTTATCTCTGTCATAAAACTAGACCCATTGTTCTCAGCATCTGTGTAGATAGAACTCACCGCAGGTTTTGTTTTTTGTTCCCCATTCGGAATGTGTTGGGGCTTTGGTAAGATGGTGAGTTGCATACTCTGCAACAACCGAGAAATTTGTTCTTGTTCTCACGGTGACAACAACATTTTTTTTGGGCTCTTAAATTGATTGATTTATTCCCTCGGGGAGAAACAAAGTATTTTTTAAATTGTATTGAATTTTTATGCTTCGCGCAAAATTCGCTGCCATACTCATAGAAAGTCCGGCCCACTGAAGCATGGGTCACACCCATGCTAAATTTAGTCCACAAACACTGCAGGACAATAGTGAAGAGGCCATCTTTTGAACTGACTAAGGAGGAAGACGGGAACATGATTTTTGAGGAATAAAATATGTTCTTGTCATCTACGATCGTTGAGAAATGGGGAGGACAAGTCACCACAGGTGGCGTGTGACCACTTAATACCACCAGAGTGGAACTGGGTAAAAACAGTGTGTTAGTTTGACTGATGTGCTAGATTGACGATGAAAGACAGTTTTCATACGTCAGGATATCGATATGCCAATTGTTTTTATAACATTGTTCTGCAAATCACGTCATTCAGAAACACTAAATATCAGCTTCTGGGAGGTCACACCACAGTGCAAATTCACGCTAATCCCACCCACACAACATCTGACCAATCGCACAACAGTTCTTGGACACCCTGCTAGAAAAAAAAACTTCTTCCCGGATGATGCAGTGAAGAACTCTAAACCAGGGCTGTGAGAAAGAAAATGATGTCTTTCCGGTCTTGCAGCTGCAGGAGTGAGAACAAATCTCTCTTGCGGAGTATGTTCTAGCCTTCAGTCAGCCTCTGGTCTCTGCCTCTTTCCTCTGTAACGTCCAGGAGATAATGGTTGATGTAAAACTGCCCATCTTTCAGAACATTTTACTTTTACATTTTGTGTAGAGCTTTACATCATAAGTAATTCATATCTGGTTAGCTATTCTTGATAAAAGTGCATTAGATCCTAAATGATGAGGCAAATGGTTTATTCTCGTCTGTCAGCCATTAAAAACAGGAACAGTTTTTTTTGTGTCAGTGAGCTTGAGATGGTTTGCCCAGTTTGATTTTTTTACTTTTTGATAGTGCTTTCTTTTTATTTAGAGCATTTAGCATTTGTGGATCAAGTTAAAAAGGAACGGTTCATGAATATCTGTGGGAAACGGCATGTTTGTACTGTTGTTTTTCTGCACCGGGTGGGAGAGGTTGGACTGATTGCCTTGTGTCTCTCTTACTGCTTCTGTAGGTCGAGTAAAAAGTCTCAGCACAGCCCTGTGGTCTCTCACCCACCTCACTGCCCTTCACCTCAGTGACAACTCACTGTCACGCATCCCGCCAGACATTGCCAAACTACACAACCTGGTGTACCTGGATCTGTCATCCAATAAGATCAGGAGCCTGCCGGCAGAGCTCGGCAACATGGTGTCTCTCAGGTCAGTGATTTTATTGTAATTGCACAACGGCTCAGGTCCCTGGAAGAAGTCAAGTAAAAGTGTCATGGATCAATGGAATTTTGCCTGCTTTAAAAACATTGTGTCAGAGTCTTTTCCGCTGTATATTAATGTAATCCTTTAAAGTTGTCAGGGTTTTGTTCCAGGCTAGATTCTCACAGTGTGGTAAATGATGTCCTTGAAAATATGTTGGTGTCTCTGGAACGCTGCTTTTCTAATGATCCCGTTATCCGGTTCACTGCAGGGAATTGCTTTTAAACAACAACCAGTTGCGGGTTCTGCCATTTGAATTGGGAAAACTGTTTCAGTTACAGACTCTGGGGTTGAAAGGTGAGTGCCATTTATTTAGAATTTTTTTTACAGCCATTCATTTTTTTAAAATAGTTTTTTTTTTTTTTTTTTTTTTTTCTTCCTTTGGAATGAAATTGGTTGATGACCTTATCCCCCCTCAACCAGGAAACCCACTTGCACAAGAAATTATGAGCCTCTACCAGGAACCCGATGGCACACGGAGACTGCTCAGCTACTTGTTAGACAATCTGGCCGGGGCTATCAAGCGCTGTAAGTGGAAATCCTCTTCTGCAACTGTATGACTGGAATAGGAATTCCTGCTTTTATGATTGTTTTTAATTATTTACTCATTCTTTAAAAAGGGTTTTTTCACAGAATTAGGTCACTGTTTTCACCTGAATGCATTTGAATTGTTTACAGTTGAAAGTCAATGTTGAACCGTTTTCTTTGTTGTTAGTACCAACAGAGCAGCCCCCAGCCCGGTCATGGATCTCACTCCAGGAACCAGATCGAGCACGTCCGTCAGGTAAGGATGACGAACACAAACCATGGCTTGGAACTGGTGTAAAAGGAAGGTGTGTATAAATGTCAGGGTGTGCACTCATAGGCACTGTAGCCATATTAGCTGAATATTAATTCTTGATAATGGTACCTCAGAGAAAATTAGCTTTTCTTGCTTTTTTTTTCTCTTCTTTGCAGTTTCAGTCTTTTTTATTCATTCTTTATGGTTATGGGTGAAATGTTTACTTTGCATCAGGAGTAAATTAACTGTGTTTTTTGCACCTAAAATTAGGTAAGCATTTAGATAGAAAACACAGCTACAGGAATTACAGAAAACTGGGATTTCATACCCTGGTAACTTGACTGAACTGTAAAAAAACAAAAAAACTGAGATGGTGATCTGAAAAAATGTTTTATCATCACGTTAACAAAGCAGGCTTTATGCCTTCCTTTGACTTTGGGACACTTCATTGAATGCTTTTTAGATGGGATTCAGGGGAATGCACTTTAAACCATGACAGGAATTTTAGCTCAACCATGTTACACCAGTAAGTCATTAAAGAAAATGAACAGGATAATGCGTAGGGATGTGTGATTATGTGAGGATTCACAATTGCATTACTTTGTTTTGTTTTTCAATATTTTTGGAGACATTCTGAAAAATAGAAGTATTATGCTTTGCATGCTTCTTATAACAGCACAGTTGGCATCAAAGCTCCCCATGCTAAATTTTCCAGAGCCTTGTGGTAGTGTTCACGGTGTAACAGTGCAGTACATCACGGCCACCTTGTGCTGGTAGTATCACATTATCTCCAGCTGCAGGGGATATTAGAAAAGGTACATATAGCCAACAAGATATAATCTGCCAGATTTCTTATAACTGATTGCTTTTAATTTCTTCCTTTTTTGTAGCATTGTTCTCTGTGATGTGCTACAATGTGCTGTGCGACAAATATGCCACACGACAGCTGTACGGCTACTGTCCATCGTGGGCGCTAAACTGGGAATACAGGAAGAAATCGATCATTCAGGAGATTATGGGCTGCAACGCAGACATCATCAGCTTGCAGGTCAGATATACCGAAAGCAAGTATTTAGGTTTTGGGAATTCATCCTAACGGGGGAGTGCGAGAGATGCACCTCAAATCATACAGCAAATGGAATTCACATTAACTGGTGCCTAATCCAGTAAAACTGGATTAAAGGCTCCCTTTGTGAAGGCTTATGTGAAGATTTGAACCTGAAACTGTGTGGCACTTGTCAGAAATAGATTAGAGCGTCTTAGTGATTTATCGTTTCAGTTAGTTCATTACTACCTGTTCACAGCTTACATCACCAGTTGCAAGTGTGTGCGCTACAGAAATAAACATGGTTGTATTGTAGTTAAGACATGAAATGGCTTTACTGCTCTTTAGTTGTTTTTACTTAACTTCCTACAGAAAGTGACATACATTGTATTGTCTTTGATGCAACCAACAGCCTTCATGTAGGTCTTTCATGCCCTGAAACCCAATTTAAAACAAATGCCACCTTTTAATGCCGTCAGATTTTCCTGCTTTAATTGCCTTTATACAGCCATCCCTTTTTAAACATATAGACTAAAGTACTCTTGTATATCAGAAATGTTTAATTTGTTTGTGATTACAGGAAGTGGAAACAGAGCAGTACTTCAATTTCTTCTTGCCTGAGCTGAAAGAGCAAGGATACGACGGGTTTTTCAGTCCAAAGTCACGAGCCAGAACCATGTCGGAGTCGGATCGTAAACATGTGGACGGATGTGCAATTTTCTACAAGACAGAGAAGTATGTTTATGGCTTTAATGTGGGGCCTTTTCACAGGACTATTCATCTGTAATAGTCTTAAAGAGGCTTCATTCATGTCACGAAGGCACTAAAGGTTTATTCATCTCAGTTCACAGAAAGTATTGTCTAATCACATGACCTCCGTTGAGATTAAGAGTTTCTAAGTATCTCAAAGAGTGCCTTTTATTGTGTGGTGAGCCTTACATCTGAGATTGTTCTGCAAAACTATTTTCCATTTAATTCTTATGCCGTGTAATGTCGAACTGCCAGAGCACCATCTCATTTGTTAAGCAAGTGGGAAAGCATGCTAAGTGTTTTTTTAATTATTTTTTTATGCAAACCTAATGGAATTAAACACAGTCAGTGTTTATCATGACTTTGTCAGAAGCAGATGAACAGCACTGGGGAGCCTCCCTTAAGTTATTTGTTAGTTTTTTATTATGAATATACAGCAAGTCACCAAAATTGCAGTATAGGTAGATTCATCAAGAGAAGGCAGACAAAGAAGCAGTAGCATCTTTCAGCCATTCAGCTTTGAAGCAGCTCCCAATAACAGAACTTCTGCACAGTGGTTGGTCCCCAAAACCGAAATTCATTTACAGTTTATGTTTGTGCCTTTTTCTGTTTATCTCCAGGTTCAGTGCAGTGCAGAAGCACACTGTGGAGTTCAACCAGCTGGCCATGGCTAACTCCGAGGGTTCCGAGGCCATGCTGAACAGGGTGATGACAAAGGACAACATTGGTGTGGCTGTTCTGCTCGAGGTCCGCAAAGAAATGATGGAGATGTCCTGTAAGTCAACATTTTCAGTATTTGACGTTTGAGCTGGGCACCTGATGCCCGTCTGCATTCTTTTCATCTAGTAGTCTTTAAAAATGTCCTGAATTGTGAGTCCTGAAATTAAATTTGGAGCACTTGAAAGATGCGTTCGGCCCCCAGATTCTCATGGCTGCTCACTGGCCTCTCTTATCCTCTCTTTCCAGCTGGTAAGTCACTCCATGGCATGGAGAAGCAGCTTCTCCTTGTAGCCAATGCCCACATGCACTGGGACCCGGAGTACTCTGACGTCAAGCTGGTCCAGACCATGATGTTCCTGTCAGAAGTGAAGAGCATTGTGGACAAGGCCACTCGCAGCTTGAAGTTGTCGTCCGTCTCGGGTGAGACCAATGCCATTCCACTGGTGCTGTGCGCTGACCTCAACTCCCTGCCTGACTCTGGTAGGTTTGGATTGTTTCCTCCTATATATCAATTAAAAAAGAGCCTAACATAATTGTGCATTTGAACTTCTGAGAAAATGGGAAAATAATGGTACGTTGCTTATCCTGCTGTTGTCTTGCCATGTAACTGGCTCAGTTTGGTGTTCCTCTCATTACCTGCTGTTCGAGTTTTACCGCCCGAGGTGTGTTTGAACGCAGCCCAATGCGAGCAGTTCTCACAGTAGAGCTGCGTTTGCTGCCAAGTACAAACACCTGCTGCTGTTTAATATATTTATAACCCAGACAGGTAATATGAACCTGTGGCTGTGCAAACTGTCACGGATGAGGCTAAACTGTCTCTGCACGCTGTTGTCCTCAGCAGGAATCGGCAGTAGATTGAAGTTAATTGGCATGTAGAAAGAGACATGGTTTCTGTAGCTTTGCAAAAACAATCCAGCTCGCTCTGGCATTCCCCACACGGCTTTGGCCACAGAGGGGTAGGAGTTACAGACTGGGTTTGACGGAATTCGGTCAGTGTGGCACTTGTTCGGATCTCAAAGACATCTTGTCACTGTTCAGGTGTGGTGGAGTACCTGAGTACTGGCGGGGTGGACTGCACCCACAAGGACTTCAAGGAGCTCCGTTATAGTGACTGCCTGACCAAATTCAACTGCAACGGCAAGAACAGCACATCCAATGGCAGGATCACCCACGGCTTCAAGCTGAAGAGCGCCTATGAGAACGGCCTGATGCCTTACACCAACTACACCTTCGACTTCAAGGTGTGTGACGAACCCCACACATTTTTATGCCCCTTCTTGTTTTGATTTCGTCTTTCGTTTTGGCATCCAGATGTCGAATAATAAACGACAAAAAAGTAGTAGAAGAAGTAGTAATTATATTTTATGTTTGTAGTATTTGGAAGGTTGTTCTGTTCCTGTACAAAATTCTCCTCTTCTTTCCTCAGGGTGTCATCGACTATATTTTCTACTCCAAGCCTCACCTGAACGTGCTGGGCATCTTGGGCCCTCTGGATCCCCACTGGCTTGTGGAGAACAATGTCAGCGGCTGCCCACACCCCCACATCCCCTCTGACCACTTCTCCCTCTTTGCTCAGCTGGAGTTGCTCCTGCCCAACGTGCCCCCCCAGGTCAACGGGCTTCACCTGCCTGCCCGCAGGTAGTTAGACCCTGCCATACCACCAGGGGGAGCTGCTCCACAGCCTCCCCCTCCCTCCCCCGCTCCCTCCCACTACCAGCTCTTCCCTCCACCACACTGGAGGAGGGAGACAAAGAGAGGAAAAGAAAAAAAAACACAACCTGTAAAATATTCATACAGTGAGGTCTGGCTGACAGGGATTTTCGTATAATGTTATAGATATTCTATATTTTTCTTTTTTCTTTCTGTTTTTCTTTTTACGTTCTTTTTTAACTGCTTGATTCAGTCCTGTTCGTGTATCATATTTAGTGTTTTTGGACTCCCTTTCCTCATCAAATTCAACAACCACCACCTTTGCTATTGTCTTTAAATCTCCAGGGGATGGTAGCTCATTCAGGTTAGTCTCGTGGGGCATTGTTTGGTCAAAAAGCACGAGGAAACCTAAAAGTGGCAGGGCGGATGACATTTACCTGAAAAGCTCCCGAGCTGACAGCCTGCTCATCTGTCTGTCCTGTATAAATCTAAAACCAGCAAAGACAGCAGACATGTCAGTCTCAGAAGTCCATCTTTGGCTTTTTCTTGTCGTCCCCTGAGCTTTTGGTTCAAGGCTAGCCTTCTCCGTCTTTCTCGGACGCTGGCCGTGTGGCAGGTGGAAGCAGCTTTTTTGCTGGCTGAGGTCTCCCCGGAGGTGGATGCAGGGCAGCTCGTTTGAGTTGTGACTTCCTACTGTCATTCTGTGGTGCTGAGGCCTTTTTGTGTGGTAATGGCCTCCCGTGGTGCTACATGATAGTCTACACCTCTGACCCCTGCCCTGGTGCGTTGGCGACCAAACCCACAGATGCCCAAAGAACCCAAACGGCGAGCCTACAGCTGCCAAGCCCACAGGGGCAGCGCGTAGTGCTCAAGGCGTGAGAGGCTGAGGGCAGCTACCATCCTATTTGCAGACTGTTTCACCCCAGCTTGTTTAGATGTTAGGCTAGTTTTGTGCTTGGGAGCTCTCGTGGCCCACGTATCACCTTTTTTTCAGCGAGGAGCAAGGGATTCAGGCTTGTTGGCAAAGCACTGGGGGCCCGTCACAGACCTTTCTTTAGTTGTGATTGTTAGGCAGAGAGAGAGCAATGGCTGAGACCCGGGATAAAACCAGCATTTCTCTCACTGTCAGGAGTTGCCATCCAACTCCCCACATGCAAGCTGACACATCCACATAGACACACACACACACTCAAAGGTAATTTGCAGGCAGACGTGTAGCACTGTCTTTGAGGCCAGTAGTAACTTTCCCCAGCCATAAGTTCCATACGCAAAAGCAGCATTTTTTGTTTAGTTTTTTTGTTTTTTTTCACAAGTGTTTGTACAGAAAAGAAATCCAGACTCAGTCTTTACATGATTGTATATGAACCACAAAAGAACTGTTTTCTGGCGTTTTTTGTACGAAGAGTAAATTATGATCAGATTTGAAAATAAGATTGTATTGTAAACAATGGCTAAATTTTTATCCACTTAATGTTAAGATGAATTGATATTACCAGCTTGTACAAAAGACGTAAGAAGAGGTCGTTCGAGGCGTTCGCTGTCTCCACTTTGCACTCCCTAGATTAATGTATCAGTATTGTTTAAATCTACCCCCCCACCCTCACCCCCATCCCCTTTGCCGTTGGTTTTATTTGCCGGCGTATTGCTGCGATGTAAATAGACACTGAGTAAACTGCCTGTTGCTTCTCGCCCATTAACAAAGCCATTGATCCACACTGCTGCCATCAGCTCTAACCGAGACATGCGAGGACGAGCGGCGTCTGTTCCTCTGTGCAGCTCCCTCAGAAGTGATGTGTGATTGACTCAGCTTCCATGAATCCCAGCCGTACATTGTGCCTCACTGTAGCAGTTGATGTCTTGCACTACTTCTACGCAGCGAACGCCTCAACAACCTCTTCTCCTTTTATTTTTAAATACTGTTGAGACATTTGTGAAGATTTTATGTCCTTTTGTTGATTTTTGTTAATGTTCATTTCCTTTTTTATGAGATGTGACAATGTTATGATGATGTGTATATTCTTCTTATTCATTGAGCTCTCCAGTAATCAGGTATGCTTTCTCCACTGACCCCCCCTCCCCCCTCCCCTCCCTTTGAGGAGGGTGTCTTACCTTTAGAAACTGATATTCAGACTCTTGCTCCATCTTTGCCCTGAAGCACAGCTCCATTCCCAGGCCCCCAGGAACACCTAGCCCCAAACCTCCTTACTGGCCACGAATTTTAGATCCTCCCAAGCCTATCTGTGACCCCCCCTCCCACCCCCCTCCATGAACCGCCCGATCTCTAACTGCTACACTGCTTAAGCTGTGTCTTTTTAAGCCCAACCACTTTGTATAGATTCCCCCCCCTGTCACTGCAGTCATAGTGCCATTTGTAGAGCCCCTACCTCTGCATTGAAAAGGCTGGAAGGCCCACTTTTCTTTGCTTTTGGATGAACAAGGGATGAGGGTCAGTGAGCTTAGCTGTCCCTTCCTGAAGCCCAGGCCGGTTGCATCCCGAGCAAACAAATGAAATCTGTCTGCAGTGACACATTATTCCAGCTGTCCAGCTTTTACACAAATGAATGAGCACTTAGATTTAGATTCAGCTCACCCTAATCTTTGTCCAGCTATATTAGAAGTTAAATTTCCAATGCTATATATGTTCAAATGATACTTTTAAAACAAGAGGGACGCTAAGAAAGAAGAGGTATGAACTTGGATCAAGAAATCATGTTTCCTCCCTCTTTATAATTTGCGCCCCCCTCTAAATTTTTTAAAAATTCCTCCCCAAACCTAAAGGAAACCAATATTTCCAATTTGATTTTGTTGTCCTGAATGGCATTAGTATTGTAGTAGATTTAAAAGGGTATATATTTCTTTTTTTTCCCCTTTTTGTTTTTTTTTGTAAAGTGTGAATAAAAGATGTATCTCATGTTTCCTTTCTAAAAAAAGATATTGAATTGTGTTGTTGATGTGTAAAATCATGAATTCTATGATAGCGTTCCGTTTGCTGCATTGTTTTTACCTTTCCTCCACATTTCTCTCACCTAGCACCCTGTGCCCCTTCCTCTCCGACAGACCAAACCCCCTGTAGATGACGCGTAGTGCGGATGCTTCTCAGAATGAAACGGCGGGGGCTTAGCCGCTGGAACCAGCGGGCTCCTTTTGGTATCAGTTGAAACCCAGCACAGGGACGTTCTGTTTTTAAACCTCTCAGCTTTATTCCGTTTGTTTGCGTGGCGCTGGCCGGAGAGCGCCAATGCCCCGTAGTTTAGGGCAGCGGTGCTGTCTCACTAGTGGCTGCAGTTCAGTACTAGGAAACACTGTTTTGACCGGTGTGAAACGTGTTTGTACGACAAAGCTAATGATGTGCCGCTAGACTGGTCCTGTGATGATTTTTTGCGTACTACTAGTCCCATCTCATTCTGTTCTCGTGCATTACAGTGCTTAAGTCTGTTCAAACTAGCTTGCTACTGTTGATAGTCACTGATTTGACTCCCCAATCTCTTTGGTTTTTTTCCCTCTGCATGTCCGTCAAGTCAGCTGAATTTTGGCATCTTATAGGCCTCAGTGCCCCCCCCCTCCCCCCCACCGATTGCTTTATCTGTTAGTCATCTGGTTCCATGTTTGTTTTTTTGTTTTTTTGTGTGTGTGTGTTGTTTTTCCTCCCCAGGCTGCATCTCTTTTAACGGTGCACACCAAAGCTGCTTGTAGTTAAATGATTTGTCGTAGAGCGATTCGCACACCAACCGGTCACATTTATCGTAAAACCCAAATCGCCGTCTCCATGAAAAGTAGGGCTGTAAGGAAGGCAAGGCACTTTTGTCCTTTTCCTTGAACCACATCAACACCCATCCCTCATACTTTTCACTGTGGTTAGTTTTCCTTTTCCACCCATCGGCTAAACTTGGCAATAATGACCAGAAACATTCACGTTCAAATATTTATTTTTCTTTAGCTCATCTACAAATGTAGCCGTTTCACCCGTTTCTAGTTTAAAAGCTCCATCCTCAATCTCTTGTTAGCTGACATTAGTTTTGCATCTCCCCCCCCCACTTCTTTTTACCATCCATCTTGTATAATTGCCCATTTCCTCCTCCCTGCCAACTTAGTGGTAGTTCAATGATCAGGATTGTCTATCTGTAGTCAGCTGAGTACATATATTGATCTGTGTCACTGTGTTTATGCACTGGACCAACTATTGTTTACCATTCATGAAATACCAGCAAGAAAAAGAAAAAAAAAAGAGTATTGATGAAACACTTGCACAACGTAGAATGTCCATTAAACCAGATGAGAAATCAAGGCAGCTGTTTTCAAATCAACACATACTGTTTTAAACTGAAACTGAATGGTAAACAATGCTTTCTGTTGTACCCCTTAGCCGTCCTCTTGATTATCTTTGGAATAGTTTTATTCTTTTCTTTTTTTCTTTTTGACTACAGGTTCTGCTTGTTTCCTTTACACCTACCTATGTATTTTCCTACTTCTGGTTGAAAATAAATTCTGTATTATCTGTTTCGAGCTGTGTCACCTCTTATTCTTTTCAATGGATATTGAAAATAAATTCTATATCTGTTCTCCTCGTCTTGCCTGCTATTTTCATCCTTTTTTTTTTTTCTTTCCTCCAGGTGTCCCTCCTTTTGTCAACACAGACACTAAGCTTTCTCTTCTATTTTCCTGCCTTTCAAACTACAGATCTGTGCGGTTTGAGCGGCAGATGTGCTAAAGCTTAGAGCTTTATGGCTCCACGTGAAACCGAAGCGCAGATATTTGTTGAGACTCATCCCGAGCGTCGTGCTGCAGTTGTTGAAGCTGCAAGTGTGTCAAACAGCTGCTGGAGGCTGGATTCTGACACCGGGGAGTACGCAGGTTTTTATTGCAACCAAACCTTGAATCGGCTTCATTAAACTGTGTGAGTGTCGGTGGCTGTTGGCTTGTATTTAAAAGTGGTGCATTTCTTGCTTACTGTGACAGTTTTCCAAACAGCAGGGTCCAAAGGATTAGCTAGTTTAAGGCCTATGTGCTGAACACCCATCCTCTGTGGTAAAACCCAGAATATTGTCAGCTCTGAGGATGAGGATCTATAGCAGAGCCCAACCTGTGATCTTATTTTTTCTTTTTTTCACCTTGAGAAGAAGAAATGATGCGAACGTCCCGTTGGAGCCGGGCTAAGTTCCACCCTGACGGGCTGGGGATTTTATCCAGGATGGGCACATGGTGGAGCCAAAGGATCAGCTTTGCACAATCTCTGATCTGAGTTGGATTTATAGATCTGAAACCGCTTTAACTCTTCTCTTTTTTATTTATTCAATTTTTTTTTACAGAGATTATGAGCTGTGATCATATCATTCAAAGCAGTTTTTGCCTCTATTAGTAGTAACACAAACTTGCTCGTTAATTTATTCAAGAAGGAAATTAAAGTGTGCGATGATTATACTCCAAAGTATTTTATCCAGTTTATCAGCTGAAGAAAGCTAAACTAAAGTTTATCCCTCATGTTGTGCAGAACTGAGCTGATGCGGTCAGCTCTGGCCCCTCCTCGGGTTCAAATCCCCGCTGGGGACTGTGCGTGTGATGAATTCATGTTCTCCCCTCTGCATGCATGGATTCTCTCCGGGTATGCCGCCGCTTGCTCCCCCCCCCCACCACAAATCATACATGTTAAATGAATTGGTGATTTTGAGTCACGTACAAAGTTGTTCATTTTGCTTCCTTTCACTTTGGTCCTGTGATGGCTTCCCCTGCTGGAAGAGGCCGTGGGCCTCATCCAGGAGTTCTCATCACTTACCGTTTTCAGGATTATTTTGAATAGTGGGTTGAGTAATGTTTTTTTTCTTCATTTTCTTAACCACTCAAAATGCTTTCAGACCAAAATTATATTCATGCTACACGTCTTGGTCATTTTCGTTGTATGTCCCGTGCGATGGGCCATGACCTCTGTGTCCAGCATTGTTTTTCTCAGTCTTTTTGTTTTCATCCTTCAGCTTTAAATGCGTCTGTGATTTATGTGATGATAAGAGGTGCTTTTCCTCTCCGTTTCTTATCGATGCAAAGAAATTGCCGCAAATTCTCCTCTAATGTTCAAACAAGACAAACTAAAATGTCACAGTGAGCTCAGAGAAACTCTGCAGATAACGGAATAACAACCCGTTTGTGTGCTTCATAAACCCCCCGGTGCATCACAGTTAGATGGAATAACTTCTAAAAGTTCATTTTATATTATTTTATTCCCTGCATGTATATTGACCCAACTCTAGATGTCTCGTTCCAGTCCTGTTAAAATCCACTAAGTTCTGTGCAGATAGGACGTGGTGGGATGGTGCATTCATTTATTAATGCACATCTGAAAAGGCCAAGCTGACAAGATTTACAGCAACGGTCTGTGAGCACGGCTGCAGCTCCTCTGCCCACGTGCAGCATTGTTGATGGAGCTGTGTGGGTTTTGGTTACATTTTCCTTCAAACTATGCATGTGTCCGACTGTAATGATGCTCCTTATTGCTCCAACATTCCTCAGAAGTCCTGGCAGACTTGAACTCTAATTAAAAAACAAAATTCAGATAAGAGAGAAATTCTTTACATTTTTTTAATATGTATTATAACAACAAAAGCAAAACATGTTCAAAACCAAAAGTGAACTCACAATTTGTGCCTATGAATATTCATTAATGTCTGAAGCATTCCTTAAGAAGACTAAAATCTGTCTTCTTGGAGCTGATTTAATTTCTTTCCTGAAGTTTTATGGGTTTTAACACGTCCTTTAACTTAAATCTGGGTCTGATCTGTGGGAGGGGGCGGGGCTTCAGATTAACGTGTGGGATAATGAGTGACAGCCGGGTGAGCAGACTCCCTCTGTAGCAGGGTCTGGGAACTGCCACTACTTCTTCTCCTCCTCATACGCACAGATTCCTTGCAGATGACAAAATCAGGTTGTTTAAGCCAATGTAAAGTAATAAATGCTGGGAAGTCGATAAGCCATCTCAGTTATACTTCGGATGTGGTCATCACACAAAAAGTATCGCCCACAGCTGTCCACTCCCCGCTCATCCTGCCTGTGTGTAACTGGGGGTTTTCTCAGGGGGGGAACTTATCAGGGTACTTGTTTTCTTAGGTATTTGTGATATGACTTTAAAGCAATGTTCCATTTCAAAGTTCACCTCGAGGCTAGAACACTCCAAATATCCAGATGTGAAGCGTACCTGCTCTGCCTCCAGCCCGCTGACCACAGTCCTGTCTCACCTGGTGTTTCTCTAATTTGTTTCTGCCTGTGATGTGTGTGTAGAGCATTTTGAGGCATTTTGGGCTCAAATATGAGGTGACATTTATCAGTATCTATAAACCAGACTTTACAATGGGGCATTCTATTTCTTATCAATCACAGCAGTAGATTTTTAAGTTTTAGGAAGAATTCGGGTGGTAAATGTCCATTAACCCCGTAAAAAAATCTTCATAAGGAATCAGAAATAGGAATGTAGACTAAAAGATGAAAATGGCTTGTTTAATCTTGCCTGAAGATGACCTCACATGCAGATTCCAAAGACCCGACAGGAGCTGTGGATTCTGCTCAGAGAGAAGCAACATAGTTACAACAGCTTGTTTTGTACGTGTTTCACTCCTCCAGATCATGTCAGTCTCAGACTCTTCATTTAAAACTCATCTCACCTGTCTGTCTGTGAAGTGCTGTGAGATATTAAGCTGACAAGCACACTGCGCTATTCACACGAAAAACAAACAACCGTCACATTTATGATATAATAAGTCGTGAGGGCTAAAACACGAAGGCTTTGTCCAACCGTTCTGTGCAGCCAGTTTAGGTTTAAACTTTTTTAGTCATTTTCTAATTGTGGCAAAAAGCTTTTTACCGCCTGTTCACACTCTACAAAGCATATCTGTAACACTGGCCAAAATGAGGCGGTGTTTTCAGAGCTGTGCACAAAGACTTGGCCACTTCTTTCACATCTGTCTCCAAAAGTCTTCATTAACACCAGAGAAAGTTGCTAGATTTGCCACTTTAAAAAAAAAAAAGAGCCTCTAGAGTGATCTGAAAACTCACATTAAGCCGCTTGGCTAGCAACACGGGTTGGTGAGGTTCCCACGTTTCCTGAAGGCAACATAACAGAGGGATCATTTCTCAGAATGTAACTTTTCTTTTTGAGATGGCAAGTTCATATCTTAGCATTCCTTACATTTCAAATGTTTGCTGCGAATGATTGAATAATATGACCCTGACATGCCTCAATACGGTTAAAACACTTTTGAAAAGCTTTTCTTGAAAGACTAGAAAGATATAAAAAGAAAATATGTATATGTCAAAACATGTCTCATCATTGTAGCCCGACTAGAAATACAACATGCATGAGAATGCTGTCCAACAAGTGGTCAGTGAGTGGGATATCTGCCCTCTACTGTCAATTAAAAATGGTTTGGATAATTTTGTGAGAGAGCAGTTTACAAAAGTCACTTATGTGTTTCGTCTGCGTCCATGAAATGAGTTCCCCTTAAAAGACCTTTAGTTGTGTGAGCCCCCCCATCTCCTTCATAATGACACTGCACATGATGGAGTGCTTGTGGAGGAAACCTGAGATGCCCACACAGATGCAAGCAGACCTTTAACAGATGCCAACAGAGAGACTGCAGCCATAATGACAATAAGACTTCAGTGAAGTTGTGTTCTGCTTTTATTTCTATATACAAGGTCTGTTTGGTGCAACCTGTTCTCTAAAATATATGTGGTTTCCTATTATTTCTCTTAAATATACTGTGATAGTTGTTTTTATTCCTACCTAACTGTGATCAGAAGCGAACAAAGGGCTTTAAAAGCACGCTGCTCTAATTCTGTGAAGTTAATCTGTTTAAAAATGAATTCGGAAGTTGGAAGGCAGCATCGAGAGCTTTCCAACAGGCAAGTTTCCCTGTCGGGTCATGAACTATTTCTTAATTTTGTGGAATTTGTTTATAACAGCCGGCCAAATTCTTGTGAATGAATTCTGTTCGCGCGAAGGGGGAGCAGAAGAAGGAGGGCAGACGCGGCTTTACTGCGTCCCGCCGTTGATGAGCTGCCTGTCCTCTGTTGACGTGGCAGCAAAGGCTGTAAAGTTCGCAGACGTAGTCTCCCGCTGTCTCTCCTTTCGGGTTTTTCTTGCATCTTTCTTCCCCTCCCCCTTACGAAGCCATTGTTTTCAATCCGTTTCTCAGAAAATCCAACTGGTTTGTGTATGTGTGTGTGTGCTTGCCTGCCAGTTGCCTGTGTGATGTTCAGCCAACTCCTTCTAACACGCTCTCTGAATACTTCTTTGTGGATTTAAGTTGTAATGATTCAGAAAGGAGCTCATGAAATATAGCTGCGCATGTCTGACCGGGGGGTGTCTCGCCAGATCAGAACCGCTGCTAACCCAGATGGGCCTGCGCCCGTGGTGAAAAGTTCCTGATGATTTTCATTCAGTGAGGATAACCTCAGCCCAGTCTGACCTTCACTGACAGGGACAGAGGAGAGAGACTGATGCAATCTGGTGCAAATCTGACCCAAAAGCTTTACCAGGGAGAGACTGAC